ACCAACTGTCGAACTGCGCCATCCTCTGGCGCAACTGTTGCATTGACTGTCTGCGGCGCTCTCCGAGGCGTGGGCTCCACACGGGGGTCATCCAGAGGTTAACGACCATTGCGGCAAAAAAAAAAAAAAAAGACAGAAAAGAAAAACACAGACTCCTAAACAATACAACAAGTGACATGCTGAGAGCGCAATCTATGTGATGATGGTGTAGAAAGAAAGAGGAATAATTCGATCAGAATCGGTTATGCACGTTGTGATGGGCGCCGGGCGCAAACAGTCACCGCGCTTCTAATACAATAAAAGCCCCATTCAGAGGAGCACTGCGCCTTTTCTTTGATTGTTTCTTTGTTTTTTTGTCCCCTTATAATCATAAACAACTGAACGACTGTGTGGAAAAAGTACTGATGAATAAATGTTTGGAGGAGAAATTTAAAACTCAATAAAGGCAACAGAGGCCGTCGTTCAGAATCCGACTTTTATGTCACTTTGAAAACCCAATAACCACATCTGGAGGCTTCATAAGAGCGCGCGAACAGAGGTTTTATAAGCAGGTTAAAATGGAACAAACTGCAGGCCGTTTGCACGSGACATGACGTGATTTCGCTCTCATTTCCCCGCGACTCCTCCGTCATCCTGACTTTTAAACAATCTGACCAAAGCTGTGCCTTTTTTTTTTAGTTTGTCTTCAAACTCCAGGACAGAATATTATTTTTTTATACACAATGATGAACTAAAAGCAATAGCGTGGAGCAGAAACAAAAGAAAAAATAACATGAAAGTTGCTCAGATTTGACAGTTTGGAAGAAAATTTTGCTTTTAAAATGTAGGGTGTTTGGTTTTATTGAAATACCATAAAGATGAAAAAAACATTTAAATACGCTTTGCAGTTTTTGTAAAAGCTTGTTTTTTTAGTCTAAAATCAACTAGAATTGGCCTCATTTGATTTAAAAAAATTAAACTAACACTCCAGCTTTGCAAATATTTAGCTGTTAGGGTACATAATAATTTTTGGCACAAGTATAAAAGTGTTGAAATAATAAAATAATAAGATATATTTTTACATCAGCAACAAGAATCCACAAATATGAACTTTAACGAAATTATACCAATTTTAGTTGTATATCTTTGCATGTGTGTCAAATTAACATTATTCAAATACTAAAAACAAACAGAATTTTTACTTTTTTTTGCAATTTTGAATGAAGGTTTCTCCTTTTAAATAAAAACAGATGCATGTAAATTCTTGACACTTCTTTTTCACAYTAAATCTACTTTTCACTTGTAAATCAGCTGTGTGTGTAAGCTCAGAGGATGAGGAACCAGCAGTAAAAACAGAACCAAATGAACAGAGTCAGCTCAGGGTTTGACGCAGGAGAGAAGCTCTTGCAGAGTCCGGCGCGCTCTCCCCCCACCACGTTTGCTTTTCTCCTTCAGGAATTTTTATGGCACCTCCGTCTCTCCCAAAGCAGATATTTAGTCTGCTACTTCCCTCGGCGTGCCCCTCTAACCTCCCCCCACACCTTGTCCTGGAGCAGGCCTTTTCTCCCCCCTAAAAAAAAAA